TATAATTATACAAATATTGACCTATTCTCGGTCGATATATATATCAACCGTCGGCCCTCAGAGAGACGAAGCCAAGATCAACAATGCTCTCCTCGGGTCGACAAATCTGTATATATACCTTGGCCCGGGTTGTATAATATTTAATGGCGCTTTGCTTCACTTTTTAAATCTCGCCCTCTATTGGCGAAGCGCTTCTAAATAGTCAGTAAAACAAAAACTGCTCCAATTGTCGATATCGTTTTGATCTGTAGTTTCCCATCAATGAACATTTTCTTTTTAAGAATTTTACCATATCCTAGATTACAATTGACCACACAATCAAACATGGTTGTCGATTTGTACAACATTGTCTCAATCCATGCAGTACGTCCGGTACCAAAGTAGTGCTTCGTTCACTAGAGGGCGCATCACTTTAATAAATGGTATGACCGAATTGTTGGGAAGAATTGAACGTCTGTTTGAGAGGATTTCACGTGATAACAACTGGATTTGTGTTTGCCTGAAAATGAAACAATATTCGTCAGAATTACCTAATAATTTAAATTCAGGGCAAAACTACGTATCAATATATAACTACATATTTTTCCCCACTATATGTACCTGAACAAAAATTTTAAGATATGACTCAACTTTTTTTACTATAGAATCTATTTGTATGGTTGTTTAACACAATCTTGTGCAAAACGTAGTTCGGTGTTCATACTATTTTATCTTGATTCTATCACGATCAGTGGCCATATCTATGACCATACGGTAGTACAGGAAACAGGAAATCTGTTGATAAGTTGTTATGGTCATAGCCTGCAACATTAACATGGGTATTTATAATACATGACTCCCGCGAAACAGACGCACTGGACAGGTGTTCCATCTACCGTTAAAAAAACGCAGAATTGTCTACACTATCCTTCGAGGGAAAGTTCCAACCAACTAAAAAAAAAATATTTTGTAATTTGTTTGCAGAAATGTGTGATATTTAATTAATTTAAAAATGTGCCAAACTTTGGATGAATGATGAAGTAATAAGGAATTTCTAGCTATTACGTCACAGTAATCATTGGATTACGTCATGTGAGGACAGCACCGCAATTCCCCAAGTCATGTTGTACATTTAGGTAATGATTGTATAAATCATACGTCACTTAATCCCGAAACGTTTCGCGAATTACGCTTATACATATTCAATATGATTCCATGAGTCGAGCATTTTTATAGTTTTATCCGCCAATCTTTATTCATCTCTGTAATGATGTGTAAACAAGCACATATCTGTATAAGACGTTGATGGGGTTATATTCACACACACTCATTCGCTTACTCACTCACTAAGGAATTACAAAAGCGATTCTAATTGTGTGGTTTAATTGTTTTATTTATGAAAACCATCAAGTAAATCAAAACAGCAACTGAATATTACGTAATCTTATTTTTTCAGGCAGAGACGTCGACATAGTTTCACTTCCCTAAAGAGTGGCAGCCGAATCGTGGTTGAATTTCGAGTAAACACTTGTAGTGCAATTTACATACAAGTTACATACACATCATAGAAACACATATAAAACACGACGCGGTACAGCAATTGGCGTGCATTAAAATGAATATCATACTTAATAATTAAGATATTTTGAATAGGTATGGATTTGGGATAGTATGGATCAATCAAGGGGTAGGAAATGAAATTGCATTCCTCGCAAATTTTGGTCAAAGAATTAGGGACATGTGGCAACAGGAATGGTGGGAAGAATGCTCAACTATGAGCCGCCTAAATTTGTTCTGCCAGGTAAAACGACACTATACTGTAGACACATATATTATCAGTGTAAGTGTGAACAAACATAGGAAATCTTTATCAAGGCTTCGTTGCTCGAGTCACCAATTAGCAATAGAATCTGGCCGTATGCATAATGTAGTTCGTTTTGAAAGGAAATGTGTATTATGCAATAGCGGAATAATTGAAGATGAATTACACCGAATGTCCCATATACCAGGCCTACAGAGATGAGCTATTACCAGGTTGGTCATTACATGACCAGGGACACCACACTTTCATAAAATTAATAACAAGTGAGTTACCCATTACACTTTGTAATTTGTCAAATTCCTGTATCAAGCTTTTAAGTTAAGGTCAGAGACACTAACATTAACCTCTTGATGGGCAGTATTTTTATATTACAGTTAATTTATGTATTTATGTATTATTATTGTTTTCAAGAAATGTAAACTTGAGATTGTGATGGGCCGGTGGCCTAGTATGGCAATAAAGTTCATTAAATTAATAAGGACGAATAATTGACTCCCAACCTATTTATACAACGAGTATGTCTCGTGATATGTATGGTTATTAATATATTTATCTTTGTCTGTTTTTCTTGAAAATCTTCTGACCCTAGTCTACGTGGAAAGAAGGAATTTCGAGTATAAAAATCACTCAATTCAATGATCGAAATCACTCAATTAAAAATTCATTTTGTGGACGGAAAAAATCCATATCTATATCCAATTTAGAAGTAGATGCTATTTGTTATATTTAATATTATCAACGTTTACAAATGAGAACCCTGCACAAATTTCATGTTATTTTTTTTTTCTAAATGAGACGGAGAATTCATACGCACGACGAAGAATAATTGTCAATAGAACTAACCTGAGAGTCGATTTCCTACTTGTTAAACATTAGAGCGCAGCTTTCCCGTCCATAATACATAGAAAGTATTTTATTTTAATTGAGCCATCGGAAATTCCTTCATCCGTTTTTATATATAATTTGATAAAAGCCAGCGATATGTCAGTCGAGTTATTACGGGTCGAGTGGTGGGCTCCAATTCACTGTAGCCAAAGTACCCACTGCTAAATGGCATTCACTCTAGTATAAACCCGCGGCCAAATCTTCCGTCCAAATCTTCCGCTGTAAAAATCAAGTTCTCATTAGGTAAAAAAAACAAAAAAAAACGCTTTTTTGCAGCTCAAACTCCCACAGAATGCATTGAAACAAAATACACTACTATGCCTAATACATATCTGGAAGTATGGAAGTGTGAAATTAACAGATTTACTGGTCACCTTCCTGTCATTCAAACAAACCAGCGCACGCCTTCACTGACAGATGTTATTGAAGTGCGCCCTCTCACTTCTCGTTTCAGAGGAAAAAATAAGAACATCCATTATTGGTTAATCACAGACCATATGGTTTGACACGTGTTCTATAGAATAATGTGCAACGAATTCCTATATTTTAGAGAAGCCGTGTAATAAATAGATATTGAGATCTCCGACTAAGATTAAAGTAGAAATTTAATCATATTTTTTTGAGAAAGTTGATAATGAATCTCCGTGACAACGTTCATTGGTTTACTGGTTTTCTCTACAATGGTGTAGTCATGGTTACGTGAATGCGTGATTACAGTAAGGTTTTAGAAAGTTACCATTATACATAATGTTAAAGCAAAATAGCACTTTTAAATATATTCTAAAACCCAGATTTTTTTAAATAATTTATGATAAAAAAATGTACGTTATCAGTAATTCTCTTACGTATGTCATCAGATAATAATAAAAGCTTTGATATCAA